AGGCCACACAGCAGGGAGGAGGCAGAACTGGACCCCAAACCACGCTCCAGACACAGGATTCTCAATGGACTCTTCTGCTGCCGGTGGCAGGAGCAGTGGGTGCTAATGTTTGTGGGTCAAGTTCTCCAGTTCTCTGAAATCTTTCCTGCCGATGGAAGCGGGTGAGACGTAACCTTGGGAAGAGGAGGGCAGGGGACACTGGAAACATCTTCTGATTCTTATGTTAGTGAGCAGAGCCCACACTGCCTGATTTAGCAGCATCGCCTTGTTCCACCTGCTGGTTACTCATGGAAACTGCTCTGGACGGCATGGGTCAGCCCTCTAGGCCAGCCCAACAAAGCCGCACCAGATGGGCCCCACACTGGTCCAGAGGCAAACCAGGACGGACTCCCCCACTTCTCTCCGCCTAGGTGATCAGCCCAAACCTGACCCCGGCCCTCCCTGCCACTGTGTGTCAGCAAAGGGCCTGTGGCTGCAAGCTCTGGCCAGTGAGACGGAGTGGGGTGGGGGGGCAGTTAGAGGGGGCCCTTAGGGAAGTTCCCTCTTCCCAGGAGCACTGCAGGAGACGGCCTCTCTCCCTCCTCCTGTCAAAGTCTGGACACGAGGCCGGGACTGCACCCCTGCTCTGGGTCTGAGGGCAAAGCAAGGGGTGGGAGCACTGGGCCACCTGCCACAGGGGCACTCACCCCAGCAGCCACATGCACACCTCCGTTTCTGAGCGACGGTGTGTTTCACTATTGTTTGGGTCAGGGTTTCTCTTTCTCACGGCCAGGGACATCCAGCCTGCGCCCACACTTAGACATTTGTTGGGTGTTGCTGCTGCTGTTCAGCACCCATCCACTTCTGGTTTGGGGAACAGACTCACCGCATTGGGTCCTGGTGTGGAATCCCAGTGGTACAATAAATCCTTATAGCAGGAAAATTGCACAGCAAATTAATGTTTGTTTTTTTTCTCCCAATAACAGGAGTAATGCACAAACCCAGAAAACCGCTTTGTACATCAAACTCTGATTTTAAAAGGACTTGCAGCCCTGGCTGGCGTAGCTCAGTGGATTGAGCGTGGGCTGCGAACCAAAGTGTCACAGGTTCGATTCCCAGCCAGGGTGCATGCTTGGGTTGCAGGCCATAACCCCCAGCAACCGCACATTGATGTTTCTCTGTTTCTCTCCCTCTCTCAAAGTGAATTAAAAAAAAATCTTAAAAAAAAAAGGACTTGCAGGTGGTAACTTCAAACAACATAAAGTAAAAAGTAATTACCACTTGAAACGTGATCAGAAGATGAAACCATTCGAGACAAATCTGACACCTGAATTCTGAAGGGTCTAGGTTTAAGTGGTGGTGTATTCGACTTACCATGTCAAGGGTTCAACTTAATTAGATCAACTATTGGAATAGGAATGAGCTAAGAGGCTTGGAGACACCAAAGCGCGGAGAAAGACCTTGAAGACCCCCCTGCCCCCCAATGAAAACAGCTGAAAGGCTGCATGAACCCTAAAAACTACGTTTGAAAAAAATAAACTATGGGGCTGACAGGGAAAGGCTTAGCAGACTGATCCCCAGACAGAGTGGAAATAAGAACCTTGAACTTGTGCCTTAAAGGCTTTTACAAAACCCTGGAGACCTTCCGCCGTAATTTGTACAACTCTCTCGGGGCAGTGGGGCAGGGGATCAAGCTGAAGGTGGGGGAAAAAGTGGAGGCAAGAAAGGAGGGCCCACACCCCACTGCACCCCCAAAACCCTAAAACGGGAATGGAACGTGCCAACATGGAGCTCTAAAAAAATAAATGTTGAAAGAAACTCTTCACAGAATACATATGAGTGTCGTTTCTTTATATAAAATTCAAAATTGGCAAAATTGAACAACAGGCCGTGTGGGGATGCACAGTAAAAAAAAAAAGCAAGGAAATGATACATTTCAAATTCAAGAGGACGTCACTGGGCGGGGGGGGGGGGTGTGCATGTAGGGGCTCCTGAGATTTTGGTACTCTTCTTTATCCTAACCCAGGTCCAGGCACGTGGGTGTTATATATATATTTTTTGTACTAAAATACATTTAAGAAATACACTAAAATATACAGCATATAAAATATGTAACACACAGAATGATAACACCTTGAGGCATCTAATTAAATTACAGACACACACATGAGAGAACAAAAAAGTGGCCCTGGCATTTGCTCAATGTAAAGCCCTGGTCTCCTAGAGGATTTTTAAAATTATTTTATTGTTCAGTCTCCTAGAGGATGTTCTGTTCAGACGTGCAGAGCGCTTTCTTGACCTCTGTCCCAAAATGCGATGCCGAGAAGGGAAAGCCGGCTAAGAAACTCGGAAAGAGGTTTCTTGAGTGACTTGCTACCTGGAGAGTACTCCGATTGCACTTCTTAGCTAGTTAGGTCTCAGGCCTCACCGAGTTGGAGAAGGCCGTCATAGTGGAAGGAAGGTCGTACTGACAGCTTACTGGTGTTGGTCTAACCACACAGGCCTGGAAGTAGCAGCATCTCTCTCAGAGCAGTGGTTTTACTCCTGGGGGGCTGATGCTGGTGGGGGCCAAGTGGGCCTCAACCTCTGCTTCTAACAGAGCTGTTCTGATTTTATTCATTTTACATAGCATGCCTTTCGTATAATTTTGTTTAAAGGGTTCTCTTTTATCTGTCAAAAAAAGTTTGAATAGCCATGGTCTTAGAGGCATCCCATCTTTCTGGAGTTGGGAAGAGAAGGCAGATCAACTCTCTCAACTCTTTGATTGTATAAATGCAAGGACACAGGTTGGAGTTTTGAATGAGATGGTAATGACCTGAACAAGACCACGGACGTAAAAAATCATCTTACAAAAATGTACCATTCAAGGTGACGAAAATGTGCATCGAATGAGTTTGCATTGCAGCAGATCTTCCGATTCCTCCTCCCGGGTGCAACTCAGTGGTCCTAACGCTGTAGAACGGGGGGCAGCCCTGAAACCAACCGGAACCGAGCCGGTGAGCAGCCCCGGCCAGCCCGGCCCACACTGGGTCCGGGCACTGTCACGTCCCCTCTGCAGCCTCCTGGAGGGATGATTTGAGGGTACGCTCCATTCCGACCGGACTGGCACTACCGGCGTTTGTAGGTGGGGTGTCAAATATGGAAAGAAGTGCTTTTGTGTGGGTAAAAGGTAGATTTGACTCCTCTGAAGGCTCTCGGAGCTGGGGAAGGAGCACGTGTCCAGCAGACGGCACATGAACCTCTCTGCCCGCCTCAGCAAAAGGGTCCTTGGTCCCACCCGCTCTCCTGCCACACCTACCTACCTAACTTGCCAGGGTTTTGCTGGGAAGGTCGAGCAGCTGGTCTGCCCAAGAATATGACCGGTTACTATTCTCCTGTTCGCCAGCCCTGAACGACTGGTGTGTGGGCTGGTCCTCTCTGGGAGACACAGTATTACTACTGGGCTAATTGGGTGGCTAGGAAAAAAAAAAAGGAATATGCATTTTCAAATGGCTCCTCAATGTTTTCTAATTGCACCAAATACACGTCTTGGTTGCAAGATTCCACTTCAACATTCGGGCTCAGCCAGTATCACTATCAGAGAACCGGATGAGATGCAATAATGAATTTGAAATCTATCCCCCAAAAATCTGTCTTACAATTGTAATTGTTTTTATCTTCCAAAGTTTGACATTGGGCAGCAACAGTCCCTTCTCGGACCAAGTCACTTTACTGCCCCTAGGCAGGGGGAGGCGACTCGCTCCCTGCTGGTCCTACCACCACTGAAGGCTGTGTCCTAATATTCACATCACATTGTCTTTCTCAATGCCCAGACTTGTAAATATAAAAAAAAAATCCGATTGGTAACAACTGAACTGTACACAATCCCTCCACCTCAAGTATTGTGCGATGCCTCAAGATGATTTCTGCATGTTTTTGGGAGTACTTAAGAGACTGTTGCCAGATTAATTTCCAGTATTTGCATGCCTTAAAATAAAAAAAAAAAAATTGTTGTTCAAGTAGTTTTCTGCCTTAAGATTCTTATAAACTTTGTTAGCTCCAAGTTCTTCCTAAAATTATCTGGGCAATGATCTATTTTCCCATTAAATGATTGCTTTCTTAAGCTATTTGATTACAAGCTTCCGTAACAAACTAAATGCTTTATTTAATACTATGTAACAGAGTGGGGCAAAGGTAGGTTTACTGTTCATTCCTGTTATTTAATGTATTTTCCATACGAACTGTAAACCTACTTTTGCTCTTATTTCAAGCAACTGACAAAATAGCGTAACCCTCATGACAAAAATGCCTGCCTGTCATTGTAATTTATTGGTATTTGCCATAAGTCCCAAGACCATGCCTGCTGCGGCCACTGAAGCGATTGTGCTGATCAGACAGAATCTCTGTGCTCACCCCATCATGCACCAACGCGGGGGCGCCAGGAATTTTAAGTATTTACTGCTTCAGTCTCGGGCTAAGGTTGAAGGCATCGATCGCACACCTTCATTTTCATTCTTCATCTGAAGCTCGGATACAATCCCGCAAGGGTAAGTGAAAACTGACTTCTGCCTATGCCCAGAGTTTCCCTGATGTAACTCTGCACCGCCATTGACGTACACCTTGCAAGTATTCTCTGGCATCTCGGAACTGTTTACTGAATGTGTAATAAGCCGAGTGAGGTGCAGGCCCCTCTGGGGGTTCAGCTGCCACAGCCCCACCAGTGAGTCCGCCAAACCCTCCTCCCGTCGCCCTCGAGCAGACCCCCGCTCTACACGCCCCCTTTAGACTGTTTACTGAGACAGAGACATCGGTCTGTTGCCCCGTTCACTGATGCATTCACTGGTTGGTTCTTTATGTGCCCTGACTGGGGATGGAACCCACAACCTTGGGGTGCTGGGATGATGCTCTAAACCAGCTGAGATCCTGGGCCAGGACCTCATCTTTCCACAAACCCAGGTTAGAACTCAAAGAATATGAGCACCCATGTAATAATCCATCTTGGGAAAAGAGACTCTTTGAAGGAAGACAAATTCAAATTGAAATTGTGTGATTTCCAGAGCAATTTATTCATTAAACTCTATTCCATATGCCATCAACACTTCTCCTGTGTGCGCTGTGCTGATAAATAGACACTGAGAGGATTTAACAAGTTTGCCATTTAATAAGTCTGAATTCACTTCCATCACATGGTATTGTACATGGTCATCTGTTCAAACAGATTTCTTTTTAACAGATCGTAGTTAAAAAAAGTCACAGATAATGTAAATTCTGTATAAACTGGTGGACTGTAAGTTAGTTCCTTTGTTTTGACTTTTAAGACTCAACTTCACCGCAGAATAAAGAATGTAGGCCAAAGAAAGCATAATCGGTCACTCGTATAGAACAGTATTGTTTCTATAATTTGGAGCTTTCTGAATGGACGAGTTCAGGCCTGATCCAACTGTAAAAAGATTACTTAATGAATAGACTATATGGAAATTGTACAAAATGTTATTAACTTTAATCATTAATAGCTTAAACTGCACTATGTTACTAATTGCTATTCAAACGCAAAAACCTGGTTTCGAATCCTCAGGGTGGCCCAGGTACGCAGCCATACCGCCTTGTACTTGGGGGGTTGTGTCAAAACACATTTCCAACAGAAACTTTGGCTTTAGGAAAGAGTCACAAACATTTAAAATAATGGCTTTAATCGTCATTTTAAGTATACGGTAGAGGAAAGTGTGCTTTAATTAAATATACATCATACCAGTGACGCTGGCAAGGTTGAAGGTTACTCCTAATGTTGTTGAGAGCTATAAAAACCAGTTTGTACATGACCAGACAATGAGAAATAAGCAATCCCTTTGAAACAAATTCTTAAAATTAAAAGAAAAAAAAAAGTTCACAGTGGTTTGTATCAACAGGATGCATTTATGACAATAACATGTACAGATTGAGCACCCTAGGGCTCTCTTTATATCCTAGAGAAAACGAGCATTTACATTATTCATGGGGTGTACACTAAATTAAAAAAAGGGATCATTGTACACTCACCCCTTAGACAGAATAAACTGTCCTGGCGTGTACAGCTTTAACACTATCATTAGATTTGTTTGCAAAAGAAAGAGAATTACAAAAAACAAAACATCTTTTTCTTGGGAGCGAAGTCTTTCATTTGCTGTTATAACCAGCAAATGCCATTCATTAACTCAAAAATGGAAGGGAGGGCCCCACAAACACTATTTGAGCAAGCTGACCAATACACATTACAGTTTTAAAAATGAAGGTTATATACTCTATGTTACAAGACCCAACCAGGCAGTGTCAAAATGACATCTATTTCTTTGCTTGCTTTGTGATCATACCCCTTGGAGGTGTTACGGGCCTCGTGGCGTTCGGCTTCTTTTTCTCTGCAGGCTTTAAAATCTGCGAAGATACAGAAGACAGGGCATTTTAGGAAACAGACGCAACCCCAAGTCCCCTTAAGATCCCTTAAATCTCATTCAAACTTTCGTTCAGAAAGGTTTTGACTTTAAACCTGCCCAACAACTTTGAAAGCCCCAAGAGCACAGAACCAAGCTGACAAGTAAACGTTTTGGTAATAAATGCTATGATGAATAGATAAATACAATCTGGAAAAAAGCGACTGATTTTAGGCTAAGCCTTCTGACACAGGGAGAGAAGGTGTTACAGAAAAGCGTTTAGCAGCCACCTAGGGAGGGGATCCTCCTACAACCTCTGGGGCAAGTTCTCCCTGGTAATTGGTGTAAGAAAAATTATTTTAATCTGTTTAACTAATGACTGCCATGTGACCTCACTGGCTCTGTGTTCATGATCGGGCTAGTCTGAAGTTATCCAAGTCTGACAAAAGTGAATGAGAAGAAGACCGAGAGGCAGACTTTGGGCAAACGGTGCTGCTGTGCCGAGCGAAGGCCCGATGACGGCGGGGGAATCAGGGGCGGAGGAGCAGTGCGCTGGAGAGGAGCGGCAGGAGGAGTACTCACGGCACATCTGGTGCCCGGCAGTGAGGGCCACCCTCACGTGCAAGGGGTGATTTAATGTTAGCTGGTACAGTGGCGCTGTGGTTTTAGGTTTATAGTAAAGAAGCCACAGCACTAAGAGCTAATGTATTGGCTGGGTTTTTTTTCTATTTAAATAATGCAAGAACAGTTAAATTTGACACTGCGGGAAAGTTCTATGAGAATTTTTTCCTCTGTAAGGGGTCTACTCATTACTGAACTAGTATAAACAATAGTTAAAAAAAAATAAACATTTAGTCTATTTAACATAAATTAACAGCAGGCAGAAAGTAGCAATTGTTTTTTTACTCAGTAAAATCCAGACATAATAAAAGGAAACCATGTTGAAAACATCCTCTACCTGAAAAGAGCACATTAGTGTTTCGTCCACACTCATCATGGCACCTGCATTGTCAAACTCTCCACAGTAATTGGGTGCAGAGAACAGAGTGACCAACTGCCTCTTTGCAAAAAATTCATATCCATCTTCAACCACCTTGGAGAGAGAATGTTTTCAGCGTTTAAGTAGGTGCAAATTTCAGGTGAGTACAACCATTCTTTAGTTTCCCATTGAGCCTGACATCCTGCAGGTCAACCTCCAGAGACACGTTGTAAAAATTAGCAATACCTACCCACCAAAATCAACAAGGAGAATCTGTGCTCACACACATGCGCGTAAGTGTACATGTAAAATTCAAAATCAATACCTGATGGGCTCTACATATAAGATCCAAATCATGCTTATGGAGAAATTTTGCAACCACTTCTGCACCAAATGTGAAGGACACTCCTCTGTCATTTTCACCCCAGCCTAAGACATCTTTATCGGGGTCAGACCACAAAAGATCACAAAGAAGACCTTGATCTGGTACATCAGTTGGTCGCATAATTCGCCGAATCTGCTCCATAGATTGAAGATCTGGTGATAAACCTATTAAATGGGGGGCGGGGGGGAGAGGCAGAACACAACTTTAAAGTGGCACTTGAACAGTTTCGTTTTGTATGCAGAGACTCAACGACTCTTAACATGAAGGCAAATTAAATCTGTGGGTATGTTTTCTTATTAGGCTTTGGTTAAAAAAATACTAAATAAGCACTGAAGTTTGTTACATGTACTAATCTGTGGGCACACTATGCGGAAACAGTTACTTCAACGTATAGAGTCCTATCAAATTAAAATTGTGACTTAAAAACTACTGCTCCAGTCCTCTGAGAGCCTCCCCAGTCATGACAATAACAAAAACTGTACATTTTCAATTTTATTACTGACGCTTTATAATTACTAGGCATAGAGGCTACAGATGCTCAGGGGTGATGTCGCTTTCTAGGAAACATGTGTTGTCCAAAGGACCAGACCAGCTCGGCTGAGTGGGTGACTCTCAGCTGCGTTAAAGTCAAATGTCCAGCCCTGGCTGGTGTGGCTCAGTGGGTTGAATGCTGGCCTGTGAATCAAAGAGTCACTGGTTCAATTCCATCAGGGCACATGGGTTATGGACCAGGTCCCCAGTAGGGGGCGCACTAGAGGCAGCCACACAGATATTTCTCTCCCTTTCTCCCTCCTTTCCCTTCTAAAAATAAATAAAATCTTTAAATGGAAAGGTTGATGGTTCGATTCCCAGCCAGGGCATGTGCTTGGGTTGCAGGCGAGGTGCCCAGTTCGGGGCGTGAGAGAGGCAAACAATCTGTTCCTCTCACACATCGATTTCTCTCCCTTCTATCCTTTCTCTAAAAATAAGCAAAATCTTTAAAACAAAAAAGAAGGAAAAAAAGAATTACATGCCCAACTCTACCAAACCAGTTTAAGTACTGGAGGACAAGGATAATGACTTTATTAAAATATATTGTGGTTCTTTGATTTTATGGCCCCACATAAAAAGAAATTCTCTTTGCAATCACTATTTTAATTACACTATACAAAGCATAACCACTGAGCAAAGCAGAGTAACTTTTAAAATTCAGGTCAGGAAAACTTCTGAAAGAAGAGGCTCAAAAACAAACCAAGAAAAGGACTACCCACATTTTCAGTGTTCTAGAAGATCTACGGTATAGCATATTAAATGCTGTTCATTTTGTATTTAAAAATACCTTCTGCTCTGTTTTCAAATCAAACTGTTACCGAGTCCAGAATTCTCTGTAACAACTCGACTGCTTACTTCAGACTTGTATCCAAACCCCAGATGTGCCACCGTGGACCCATGATCGGCGAGAGTGAGTCACCAGACCACAGTCAGCCCAGTGGTGACTCAGGGATGCCCGAGTCTGCCCTTCACAGGGACCCCAAGCCCTGCAGTTCCAGTGGAACTCAGACCAGCCACATACCTCCATGACAGCAAAATATCTTCTCATCCACGATGGCTGCTATCGGTAAACAGTTAAAGCAGTCTGTGAAAGTTTTCCATAGCTTAATGTTGTATCTTCTTTTACCTGTGAAAATTTTAGGATAGTTAAAAAGAGACTGGTGTTCCATAGATTCATTCTCTCAGGACAATTTCCCCCAAAGCAAGGTTCTGGTGACCCTTTAAGTAAACAAAAACTAAGCTTTTATTAAAATCCTCTGGAAGAGGTTAGTATTATATATATACTTGGAGATACCTGATCTATAAGCAACAATTTATATTTTCACATGAAACATTTCAGAAGCCCACAGAAGCCTGAAATCAGATCCCCAGATGCCATGACCAAGGACTGCCACCGAGCCTCAGTGACTACGTGGCAGCACCAACTGTCTGGAACCTCGTCTGTTTTGTCCAATCTCAACCCGGAAGGAAGCAGCTCCTATTTCTCAAGGCAACTGTGAACAACGCACACTCGTGCCACCACCACCCTCCTTCTGAGGAAGCTGCCGCGAGCTCACACCCACCCACCCCACCCCACCCTCAGCAGACCACAGGTACCAGCCCCTAAATGCCCGAGCAGCAGGCAGGGCTGTAGGGAAACGCAGACCGCTCACTGCGGGGACTCCAGGGAACCTGTCCCGAACACTGCACGAATGCTCAGAGTGCGCCCCATAAAAACGGCGGTCCAGGGTGGTCATGATGGCCTCACCAGCCCGTCGGTCCATGACCTCTGGAGCCAGAGTGGGGTTCACACAGCAGCATGCCTTGATGATGCTGCTCCCACAGGAAAGGTCTGTTCCAAGTTACAGACCTACTCACAAGCCTTGAAAGTACAAATCTGTCCAAACTGGTTGAGGAAAGCCAAATTGTTGGGATGCCCTGGTATCCTGTACCCTTCCATACCGGAAAAAATGAAGGTATGCCAAGGACACCTTTATGACCACAAAAAGACTGGGTGGTGAATTATACGTGCCTGATGGATTGGGGGCCAGGTGGAGGCAAGAAGGAGGGGGAGCAGCTTGCCTCTAAGATCAACAATTGAGTCTTGACCACCAAACCAATGCTGACCTTCTAAGTCATTTTAAAGGCTTCTGCATTACACAGAAACTGAAGATGATGTAGCTAATTTTCTCACACCAGGGTATATGGCACAACAAAGTGATCATTTGGATTTGAACTTCGATGAAAACTTCAAAGTACTTGCTAACAGCTATGTAGAAAAAACCCTTTCTTAACCTGTTCTAAAATGTAGCACCTCTAACAAGTGTCTAAAACAATGCTTGCCTCTCATTTCACCATCTAAGGAGCAATGAACTCAGACTTCTCCTTGGTCGTCCCTCCCACCTCACTTGTTAGCTAGGCGTCGAGACCCCAGAGCGAGCAAACACAAAGCCAGCTGACCACACCTGGGTGAAACAGATGGAAAAACACCACACCCCAAGAAAACAGGTTATGGCCACAGCTGATCCTTAAAACAGGAGGGTCAGGGGCCCCAATTCCCCACACAGTTGAAAAGCCGCATGTAACGTAAGTCAGCCCTCCCCATACACCGCTGACAATTTTAAATCCAAGGGGAAGTGGCTCCTCGCAGTTCAAACCCGTGTGGTTCAAGGGCCGACTGTGCATTCTAGGGGAGGACGAGAATGACGATGCTTTACTCGTCTTGTTAGTCACACTGGCAGGTGTTACTAACTCAAAACTCCTTACCCTCCCCTCTCCTCCCAGACGGAGCCCTCTCCTGCAGAAATGCACACAAAAGGAGGGCGGAGGTAAGGGTTCAAAACTTTTAAAAAAACATTTCACTTAAATAGCAACAGCAAAAAATTCTGCCAAAACTGGTATTTTCAAACTACAAGAATCTTGTTTCTTTCAACTATCAACTCAACCTGCACCTTCAACTAAACAATCCAAAATGGGCCACAGTATATAAAACAAATAAATTTTTTTAAACAAGTTTTCATATTTTAGCACATTTTAGGACAGTAACTGCCATTTTCCCTATGTGCAAATGTGCCAGAAGGAAAAAAGCTACATTACAAATTCCAAAAAGTAATTATTTGTACACTGCAAGATTCCATTTACATGAAGTGTCTAGGAAAGGCAAATCTACAGAGACACAAATAGATTGGTGCTTGCCTCTGTGTGTGTGTGTGTGTGTGTGTGTGTGTGTGGCCTGTGGTGATGGTCGTACAACTCTATAAAAACAAGTTAATGAAGTAGGAAATGAGAGATCATAATACTGCATCTAAACTCACACACCCTCACAGTAGAACTGTCAGTTCATGACCAAGTATCTCAATTTAAGTAACTTTTCCTTAGATACAGAAATACTTACACTCATCATAAAATCCATAAATTCTATTGATGCTGGCACATTCGTGGTTTCCTCTAAGAAGAAAAAAATTCTCAGGATATTTGATTTTGTAGGCCAGTAAGAGGCAGATGGTCTCCAGTGACTGCTTCCCCCTGTCCACGTAGTCCCCAAGGAACAGGTAGTTGCTTTCCGGTGGGAAGCCACCGTACTCAAAAAGTCGAAGCAAATCATAGTATTGCCCATGGATATCACCTAGAAGCAAAGATCTTGTTACACAGTATCTTCACACTTACAGTTCATTAACAAAGCTTTGGAAAGATATTCCTTAGACATTCACTGCACAGTGGCATGCCCTCTAATATGGAGTTAAATCTGACAGCTACCACTAAGTTCTAATCTTAGTTCAATTGAGCTTACTAAAAACTTTAAATACATGCCCAGAATCTCACACAAAACTCAACTAGTAAAGAATTTATTTTGTGGAAAGCATTATCGATGCCTAGGCAGGCCTTCTTGCCAAGTAACACTGTTCTCCTTCCAGGCCGGCGATCAGCATCAGCTCTCCGACAGCTCGGTCTCGGGGTGTGGTGTCAGCAGAACGGCTGCACCTCCAGTGAGCCTGGCCCCAGGGGAACAAGGACACAAATGCGCAACACCCATCAACGCACTCATTCGGCTTTCAATCCCCCCAATAAGACAGTGCCAAGGAGCATTTACTTTAAAAACATGCACATGAGCTTTCTTGGTGTAGTCAAATATGCTAGAATATATGGCATTCCTCAAATAAAAGTTGAGGTTTTTATACAGATTATGTGCTGTCGTGTAGAAAAAGTAGAACTATAAAGCAGCAGCAAGGAAGAAGGTCTATTTTTAGGAATAACCAGCTCTACTTAGAGCTTGTATGTAATTTCTATATATTCACACAGTTCAGACCTTTACTTAGCTCTCCATTCTGCTTCACTTCTTTCCTTCCGCAATGATTTTTAGAACATTCGAAGCACAGCTAAATAAACTAAGCCCATTAGAAGCATTTATTCTAGAGCTACACCTGTTTAACTTAATTTTAAGTGATTCCAGGTTATGCATAAATAGTAAATGATTCTGCTAGCTAATACAAGGTCATCTATATATCCCTGACTCAGTCACTCTCCAGCACGTAACCAAAGAGAACTGTTAGCGTGCAGAGACTCACCACATATTTTGAGTGGTGCCTCCAGTTCTAGTAGGATGGGCTGGCTGAGAAAGATCTCCCGGGACTTCAGGCACAGCCCCCTGATTTCATTCTCCTGCAGCTGGACGTTCTTCCCAGGCTTGGACCCTCTCACTGCGGGGGAGGAAACCCCAGTCAGTCAAATACAGTCAAAGTACAACTGAACATAAACATCGTAAATATCTGAGAAGATATTTTAGATAAAGAGACAGACAGACAGACAAACAAACAAACGTTTAACTAGCTAGCTTCTTGGCTGGCTTTATTTTTAGGGCACTTGTAAAGTACCTGGTTTCAGTGCGTAATTCTAGTCTTAAATCTGAGCCAGGATTTCAGAGATTATCTAGCCGCCACCTCCTCTGCCGAGTTAAGACTGTTCAGGACAGACTGTGTGTGTGAGGACCACCAGAAAGGACTCGCTGAAATCAGACCCCCGTGGCTCCAGGCCTCAGTTCTGCGTCCAAGCCACGCACCGGCACTGTTCACCTCCAGCCCGCCCACCAGGCCGGCTCGTTTCCCTCCCGTCTGGTCTTCTCCTCTCCAGCCTTATAAATGGATCAGTATTTGCACAGCAGAAGATTTTAGAGATTGTCCCGTTACTGAGCTGGTTCTAAGAATTTCCTGTTCTACAATGTGAGACTAGAATTGCTCAGACTCCCCTCCCCTAAATTAGTGTTTTTCATCAGATGACCTTGGGAGTCTCCTCAAGGGCCCCAGATTTAATATGTGCAAAAAATTCAAGTGTTTTCACTTCAATTAAGACACACTGCAAGCTCACTGTACTTATTTGGCTGTGCAGTTTCTGGGCCTGCACCTTTAAATGCAATCATGCTTCTAAGGGCAAAGGATGTCAGCCTGTGCTGTAAGAAAGGAGGCTTCCTAGTAATGCGAACAGATAACAAGTGAGAAAAGGCACAGCACCAGGCACCCCAGACTCACAAGGAACCACATCCGAGCACTCCGAGTTCTACCCACTATCAAAATGAAGCACAAGGCCTCCTCTGGCCTTGTAACAGTGCACCTTATCAGCCCGTAGGTAGAAGGGAATGAAATTTTGTTTTGATCCCAGTTGTAACAGATTAGACATATTAAATAGAACAGATTTGCTAAATTTACCTTAATTTTACACCTAAGAAGTGGCCTGCTTACTGGCAGGGCCTGGTTAAATTGGGGGGGGGGGGGGTGTTTGATCATCCTCAACTTGTAACCCAAGTAAGTCTTCACAAAAGACTTATGAAAGCAGGCACTTTCTGAGTTAGAACTGAAGTGAAAACACATGGCCAGACTAAATACAGAACGTAAGCCTGCATCTTTCTACTGTTCAACCCAATAAAAAGTGATTTACTTTTTAGCAAAACCACAAAATCCATCAGATTAAATCAATGTTGCTAACTTAAATTTTATTGGTTTTCGAGGCTTTGTTTGTATTCAAATTATAAAATCATTTGACCTAATAGTCAAATAAGAACAACAGGTTTAATTGTTTTGTATCTGGCTTTGTTCCCTAAGTACCTAAACAACACTACAGAGTAATAAAAATTACAAGTACAGAACCCTGATGTTTAAGGATTTCTTTTCCACATTAAAAAAGGCTGTGCCTGGGTTTGAAAAATGCTGTCTTAGGCGAAGCCATCCATCAGCCTGAATAGTCAGTGAAACTCTGAAGTTTCCCAAGAAACAAGTTTTGAGTAGAAATTAAACTGTGTAGAGGGTGTCCCCAGCCCCAATGAAAAGTAGCAAAGAAAGGCGGACACCTAGGAAGGATCAAACTCCTGAAACACACAAGAACAGAAAATGCTGAGAGGGCGCTGCATTGGGTGCTGGAAGGCCCAAGTTTCTGTACTGGTTCTATAACCTTGGGCAAATCACCCCATTATACTCCAAAATATGTAACTGAGCTAAGTGACCAGCCAGTCTCTGATCAAAACATTATGAGATGGGATGCAATTAAATAGAAAGCATAGTAATGACAACCTTTGAGGGAGGACCCAAAACAAATGCATATATAATACAGTAACAACTGGGCAACAAAAAATTATTTTCTCACAGTAACTTTTTTCTCTCCACACACACACAGCACAGCGAACTCAAGAAACACTCCGGGTTGGAAGGACGGTGTGATCCCCGATTCAATGGGCAGAAAACCCCAGTCATTAGCAATTTTACCACAAGTCAGCCAGAAACTTGGGCAGAATGCCCAGCAGAAAATTTCATTTTTGGTTTACAGGAGCCTCCTAGAAGCTTCTGGTTTCAACCGGAATAGTTTTCAGCAGAGCCCCACATTTCTGAATGAAGAACCCACTCTAAGTCTTTCAGACTACGTAAGACGTGACTCACACCCACAGACGGCAGGCTATCCTGTTTACACGAACGCTATCTTGTGATGATAGATGTAGTTTATGGTAGTTTTGGTTCTTACCCTGTTTGTCCTGAGTGGGGGTGCATACAGAGATTAGTAAAAAGAAATACTACTAACAATGAAAAAATTATTCTTAAGGTGTTTTCCCAGAATAAAGCAGTGTATTTTATATGTGAAGAACCCTGCTCACTGAAAAAAAAAACAGCACGGTCTCAGAGCTCCCTACAGTTAGCTCAAGGATAAAAATCACAAAAACAGAAATTCTGCCTCAACACCATCTTCTACCAACTGGCAAATACCTGCTCATCCTTCAAGGCTCTCCTAACTGTCTCCTCGCCTCACGAGCCTGCATTATGCTTCTGAAATGCTCTCAGCAGCCAGACAAGGAAACACTGTACCTTGTATTATAATTGTAGATTTGCTTCTACCTCTTCATCCGGACCCCCGGGTGGAACACAAACCCCAGTAACACACCACCTGCTCTTCAGTGTACATGCTCATGGCCAGTCCATGGCAGGCTCACAAAATCTGCCACATAAATAAAGTTCGGATACATCCCTAAGCACTGTTGACTTGTGGCATTAGAACTAAACACACATTCCAGACTACACATGTATTTCCCATCTGGCTTTACTATTTTCCTAGTTATGAAAATACAGGGTTACTCTTAAATTTCAAGTTGATGATAATGTGTCTAACAGAAGGTAAAGCTCTCAAAATGGGTGAGCACTGTTGTTTCTTTTTTTAAAATGACCATATCAGCCAACAGCATAAACATCTACTTCCCTATTTCCACTGTCCATCACACAGAATAATTTATTAGTTGTGGGTAGCATTTACGGAGCACGTCCCACATGCTGGGCTGCGCTAAGGGGTTTTACGCTGCCAGTCAGTCCTGACAACCCCACGAGGCCAGCACTGGCGCTTCTCCACGTTACAGGCTGGGAGAGGCTCAGCGACTTGGTCGAAGGTCAGAGCTTGTAAGGAGGACATCGAGTCTTGGTCCAGTGATGCTTCTACCATACCACCCTTCCCAGTAAGAATTTGTTCTTCATGAAACTTTCAAACCAATGGAGTTTTTATAGGACAAACTAACTGAAACCTCAATATATAGTCATTACTTCCCAAGAAAAAAATTGCTATGGGATATAAGATAAGGCATTCTTATAAATGGGAAGCATTAGGTAAGAACTACACCGTGCAATCTGTTAAGACTATCAATACTTATTCACCATGCTTCAACCTTCAACAAAATAGTTGCTGGGCACCTGACCCTGGCAACACGCTAGACAAGAATCTTGTACTTTTTCTCAAGAAGCTCACAAGAAGCAAGACACAGAAAATAAGATGAGCTGGGTAACTGCAGGTTGTTGTAAGTGCTATAACTAGGAGAACTATCCCTCCATAAAGATTATAGAGGTAAAAGTTCACCTTGAGGGCATTTCAATGCCATTTAAAAAGGCATTAAAGACACAGGCTTGACTGTATTTTATCTGTTAGCTATAAAGAATACAGACAGTACAGTTCTGCTCAATAAACAGCAGCAACACCCACTTTGAGGTGTAGAGCCCTCACTGTGCTCTGTGCACGATGGGAAAAACCTTACAAATGAGCCCCTTCCATGGGAAATCCATACGGTCACCTTGGAGTGACTTCCTGAGTAATTCAGGTTGCACATACCAAATTATTTCAGCTTTTGTCAGCGGAATCCAAAACATTCCAATGAATGAAAGTTCCGTTCTCCAGTGTTTCTCATTCACCTTAGATCTTTTGCATATGACTTTTGAGTAAAAGCTTTTCTTCATCTGGCTAGACATGCTGATTCAAAAATGTACCACAGCTGTTAACAGCCAAGATTGTTCTGTACAAACTTACCAATTTATCTGGCAAATCACTGATTTCATGATAAATTTCCACGAAATCTTATTCGAAAACTGATAAAATCTTGAAACAATAAAGAATGTTATTGGTGATGATCTGTGATGATGGCTTTCCCTCACAAGCAACACTAACTTTTCTGACAGCCCGGCGACCAGCGAGGCAGTTAAGAAAGCTATGGAAGGAACACAAGGACGAGCCACAGCCGCCTGGAAGCGCAGAGCGAGGTGTTTCTGGAAGCTACGTGGGCCTCTAACAACAGACGCCCAGAAGGACGCCCAACCCCCAAAGCAGCAGCTAATGGTATGTATGTGGAGAATGTCACACAGAAAAATGAAATAAAATCCAGGGATCCATTCAGATGCAGAGTATGTGGATACAGAATCAAGTACAAGAAAAGTACTTTTAAAACCATATTGGAAGCCCTGGCTGGTGTAGCTCAGTGGATCGAGTGCAGGCTGCAAACCAAAGCATCACAGGTTCGATTCCCAGTCAGGCACATGCCTGGGTTGCAGGCCACGGCTCCCAGCACATTGATATTTCTCTCTTTCTCCCTCCCTTCCCTCTCTAAAAATAAATAAATAAAATCTAAAAAACCAAACAAACAAAAAAATAAACACACATTGGATTTAGGTGTCTATTAATAGTTATATAAGGAATTTTTTTGTCCAATTACATTATTTGTAATTCAATTTTATTGTATATATCACCAGATACAATGAAGGTTAAAAGTGCATCCTGAAACCACACTTTTAATCGAAACCTGGAATCATCAGGACCCTTGTTAACAATGAAAGTTTTGTATTATCAGAAAGAAACAAAGAGGAGAAAGAAAAGAAAAAGAAAGGAAGAAAAAGAGAAAGAAAAAAGAGAAGAA